GCCCCTCCAGGGTGGGCGGTGGCAGCGCCGCGGTTTTCTTCCTGTCGCGATCACCTACATCCCGACAGCCGGGGTTTACGTACAGGGCTGCTACGATTGCACTGTTCATCTATCCCTTGCCCTGAGCATGGAGGGCATCGAGCTTCCCGCAAAGATGGTAGCCGTATTGCCAAAAAGAGATGGCCCAGAGTGTCAGGGCAGTTGTAACAGTTCTCCTGTCATAGGCACGTGAAGCCTTTAATATAAGCACAAGCAAGCAGCATAAACTTGAGACTTCTCTCCCTCTCTCTTGTAACTAAAAGCTTCAACCCCAGACTTGTATTCCAAATCATAAGTCTCTGAAGCTGGATAACCTAAATCAGAACAAAAACTATTATTCTTAAATTCAAACACCTAGAAAAAGCTCTGAATTCAGTACCTTAAGAAACAGTATGCTAGGAATAAAAGTTCACATTTTCAAAAGACACAGATATGTCAGTTACTTACAAGTTTTTGATTTTTAATTAAAAAAAAAAAAATTGAATCTCACCAGAAAACCAAAAACCACTGTAGCCCGAGAGGTCTGAGGTGTTTAATACCAAGCATTTTTGTCATACAGATAGGATCTGTTTATGCTTACTGCACCTCAAGTGCTACAATGTGCTTCACTTTAGTCATTATTCCAAAACATCCTCTTTCCTCTTCCCTTCTTAAGAAAGGCTAACGAGCAAGCTGTAGAACAAAAACGTGTGCTTCACCAGTTTCAGAGACTACACGCAAAACGGCATGGAGAAAAAGGGTAGCATTGCCTGGGCCTGCAAGGAAGGAGGACCAAAGGACAGGGGCAGCACAGGGACAGAACACAGCCCGTGGCGAGAGGGCCGCTTCTTACATTCATGATTCCCACCTCTTAAAAGAAAAAAGGAACCTATACTTTTAAACATTGAACAGTCCTTATAGTCAGGCTCTGATCCTACTAGTCTGGCATAAAACAACTTCCTTTTTGGTTTTGTTTTTGTTGTTTGTTTGTTTTTTTAAGAATCCCAGCAACACATAATGCACTAAGGCAGTGCTCAACCTGTGTCTGTATGTTTTCCAGCTGTATCAATGACTGTTTCTACACTAGAAAGCTGGTTTAAAATGATTCTTTTTACTTTTACAAGATATGAGAGAGAGAGAGAGAGAGAGAGAGAGAGAGAGAGATATTCATTAGAATGCAAGAGTGTTTTAGAGAATCACATCTCAATTTTGTTTAAGACTACCAGATCAAAACATTGTTTAATCCATAGATCTCTGCTCAATCCAGTTTTTACCATGCAACAAGAGGAAAGGGCGCAGTTGAGAAGTAGATAAGGAAATAGGGGATTGTTCTTGTGCCTGTTTCTCATGCAACTTTGTGGAGGGATGGCAATACTTCTAATTTATTTATTTATTAACTTTTTAATAGCATGCAGATCATTTCCTGGATAAGCACAATTTGGTGTAAGAAAACAGATAAGCTAAATCTTAAGACTTTTGTACACATAGATCCTAAACACAGAAAGAAAAAAACTTTTCTATACAAGGATATGTTATTCTGAAATCACTACTGTAGTAAGAGTATATTTTACCATTTTTTTTAATCTTTTGAAAGACCCAGAGCATATACACAGTTGATGAAGTGTGTATTTTCACCTGAAAAAGAGGGTATCCTGTCAACTATTCAAATTATTTTTGTACATAATACAAATATTTTGAACAGTAAAGTATTAACAAAGTATAAACAACTATAACAAAAACAACATCAAATTTTTATTTCAAACATCACAAAAGTTAGGGACCAGTTTAAAAAAAAAAAAAAGAGTAAAAATGCCCACAGTTAACATCTAGAAGTTTGTCTGCAACTATATGCACACAACTACTTGACATTGATCCAAGAGAAAACAAATACTAATGATTTTGAAGAATCAAAAAAATCTGATGTTTCCACCAGCGGTCTTAGAAAGAAACTTCTCAGTAATAGTCTAGAGTAGAGTATGAGGTAGTATAAAGAAACTAAAAAAGATCTGTCAAGTAAAGGATATTTTGTACCGTACATATGCTATCATCTTTACAAAAAATAGAACCTGAGCATGTAAACTACTTAGTCATCGAGCTGCATCTCTAGTTCTGTTTCTTGGGATTTTTTTTTTTTTTATTTTTTTTTTTTTTTTTTTAAGACTATAGATCAGATATAGTAAAACTCTGGTTTCAGTTTGATTTTCAACCGGGTGGCATTTCACTTCAGATTTGTCTGCTCAATACCTTAGTTCATAAAAGGGAGTTAAGTGAATCAACATTACATTTCTCCCAGATGCATGCAAAATCAAGGGATTAGAAAAGTCACTAAGAGATCTTCATATGAGATTAATTACATTATGTATATAAATATAAAAGACTTCAGTATTTAAAAAAGCAGAAGTACACTTTAAAGAAGAACATGAGGCTTTGAAGAAGAGAAACAAATTTTTCTTATTTTTTTTCCAAACAGCACAACACACCATCTTAATTAGGAATTCTACCAAATGGAATTACTGTATGTAAACTACCTTTTAAAGTCTTTAAAACCAAACTGAGCCCAGAAAACTATGACTCAATGCAGCATTGGTTTAGTCCCACCCCTCTGCCTCAAGTGTTTCCCTATTCACTTATGCAGACAACTGCTTATCAAGATAAAAGTGAATATTGAAGTAGCTATCCAGTACCTGAATGAACGTAACACTTTGTATTTCTGGTTTGTTACAAGTACACCGGTACTAAAACAACAAGCTTAACAATCAGCTTAAAGAAAGAAATGTATACTGTTATTTTACTGAAAGGAAACCTTTAAAATAATTAAATGTGATTTGTGTTTTGGCTTAATTCAGATTAACCAGTGCACATCAGCACTCATACCCCACTAACCAGTTATTTACATTCAGCAGCACCAGAAGAAAATACACAAATGCCTGTAAAACTCTCCATCTTCACAATCATAAAATGTAACACTTGTGGATACTTTCATGAGCCCCTGCTGGAAGATTGAAGATGTAGCAAGTTAAGGAAGTAGTTCTCAAGTATTTTGATAACGTATTGCTTTCACAAAAACACAAAACCTGTTTGAATATGTATCAGTGTTTACAAAGAAAGCAGCTAATGAGGCCTTTCCTATTTAAACTGGAGGTGGAAACAGCCATAGCTAGATCAAACTCTGTACAGTGCCAGAGAAAAAGAAAAAAATTAACAAGTCATCTGAAAGTTACACCGTTTTCCTTTCTAGCAACACTACTCACGAACCGTTCTCTCACCAGATGTGTTTAAATGCATGGTACTTCTGAGGAAAACAATCACACTGACATTAAGATGCCAAGCAACTAGGATGATCACAAAAAAAATGCAAAAAAGTATTAAACATTAAAAATTCAGGCCTCAAAATTAAAAAATTATGTCAAAGTTGACTTGCAAATCAGCATGGACTTTTTCTACTTCTGAAGACAGTGAAGGTTCTAAATCCATCTATTAGCTTGAGCTCAAGTATATTTTTGGCATATTTAATTAGCACATTTTGTACCGTGTTGCCAGTGTTAAGAGTATAACCTAAATAGCCAAAGATCTTCCCATCCTTATCTCAAGTCTCAATAAGTCAATCTTACCTTTCCCCTTTCATAAAACAGCATGGAGAAAAAGGATATCATTGCCTCAGACTGCAAATGGCAGAGGAGCTTCTCTAAAGGAGGATAGCGACACAGGGATGGAACACAGCCCACCATGATTAGTTTGTGCTTGGCTCTTGTGATAGCAACATTAAGACGTCGCCAGTCCTTCAGGAGGGCGCCAAGCTGTTAAATAAAATGTAACTTGCTTTTAATTTTCCTACTTAAATTTCAGAATTTAATGTAGATAGATGTATTTTGAAAATGAGTGTTTTAACTATTAAAATTGACTGAAAGTTAACATGACCAACTTACATTTTCATCATTACCGTTCCTAACAAAAGATACAATTATGATACTTTTGTCTCTTCCTTGGTATTTATCTACTGTGTTGACTTCCACTCTGTTCTCCTTCAATTTTGCCATCAAATCAGTGATTGTTTTTAATTGATGTCTGTATGGTGATATAATGCCGATGTCTGAAGGCTTACAGCCGGCCTGAATGAAAAGAAGAAAAAAATATTGTCACTGCAGTTAGCTTGGGATACTCATTACTGTCAGAAGACCCTCAAGGATTTTTTTTTCTTTTTTTTTTTTTTTAAACAGTGCTGCAAGATACTGTATCCATACTAAGTTGTCAGTGGAACTCTAGGTATAACTGGTATTAACTCAATAAAATAGTGCTTTGTCTTAACCTAGCACAAAGACAGATATCCTTGAAATCCTCATTTTTCTTTCTTCCTCAAACTGTGAGGTGAACATTCAGAACTCCTAGTCTGTACTACTCCTGAAGTTAACTGGATGAAATAAGGAAGAAAGGAAAATCCTCTCCCCTCCCTCACAAGAAAATCTTCATCTCTTAAAAGAATTTGGCATCCAGCTTTTTTTGCACCCCAAATCCAACTCGGCAGGGGACAGGAAACTGAATGCAGACCTCAAGTTCCTCACTATACTGACATATAGCCAACTTTTAATTTATCCTTAAGGTTATCCGTCAAAGAATAACCCAATGCATATAGTCACCATTACTATAGCAATGTAAAAATGATTAATTATAAAGCTGTCCCTCCAAACAATGTAATAAAGTAAAAGATACCTTAATAAATAAGGATGTGAGGAAGAGTACTAGTTTAGCTTCTGTCACATTACTTACACCACCTTTTTCTGCATGTTCTGGTGCTGGGACCTTTAAAAATATAAACAGAACATAATGACTTTTGCTGTCTATAATGGCATGCTATATTCTGATCCCTAACTCACCGTATTACACGTGTTTTTATAGTAACAGTCTTAATAAAAAAAAAATAAGGCTACATGCTAAATTTTACAGAGTATAAGAGCCTATACTGTAAAGAACTTCAGAATACTGCATTTGCAAAACAAGTTGAAACAATTTGCTGAAATGAGTTGCTAGTACTAACAAGTCACCTTTAGAAATGGCCAAAGCCTGATCATCTGTCTTTACAGTTCACATGATACATATCATACGAAAAAAAAAATTGACATTTCCCAGCTTGACAAGGTAAGAGAGCAAACTGTATTTTACATGGGACTTTTGTTTTAAGGCTTTCCATACAGTGATGTTTAAAGCGAATTTTCCCCATTTCCATGGCAGAAAGGATTTTTTTTTTTCTTTAATGTTTGAAAGCCCATATTTAAAACTACAGGAAGAACTATGCAAAATGGTAGTATTAAATTTAACTTCCAAATTAAAAAAAAAAAGTATTTACTGAATTTACCATTTCTTAACTATTAACTCCCTTTCCCTGCATCATGTATGAATGCGACCAAAAAGCCAGGAACATGCTTCGAATGTAAACTCTTATCATTTCAGTATCACAGTTTTATAATTTATTCTCTTTGCTTAGCTCTTGCCTTCTCTAAAGTTTAAGTGGTATTACTGGCAATTAATTTGTCCCTTCAGTGAATTTGTTATCCCTCTAGTAAACTGGCATGCAGCTAAACATCTGGGGTCAAGCAGCAAACCTCTTTATTTAAAAACAGTCTAAAACTGAGCATACACTAAACTGCTTTCCGGCTCTGAATTCCATTTACTGTCTTACTTATTTACTGCCATTTATTACTTTACCCATTCCACTATTTGCCTCCGATACTAGTGACGTACATCAACTTTGTTTTCTTAGACGCCACTTTGTTCAGTTTTCCTTCTGAATTTTTATTACAGCATTGCCACTTAAAATGGGAGGTGGTATAGTCTGACTTAAAGCAACACTCTCAGAATCCTGTCACAACTAGTTTTACTTCTCCGAACAACCACCCCAATATCATCTGAATGGCTGAATCTGGAGATCACTATAATGTTTAACATGAGGGTAAAGTAATACATAGTTAATATTTGTAAGAGTATTCCAGGTTAAGTGGTATCTGCTTGCTAGAGCAGTAACACTGCACATGTATAGAATCTGACAGTGTACAATATGCATCAAAAGCTTCACAAATCCAGGAATTCAACCGACTGGGTAGCTCATGAAGTGTAATCTATGTTCAATGCCTAGCACACTAAAGCACTGCAAATGAACAAAACAATAATCTAATAGAGATTGACAAACCCATATGCAACGCTACTGCAACTCTATATAGCAGTCTTCTCAAGGCAGCACATATATACATTAATAGTAGGCTACTGCATCCATAAGTTTATTTTAGGATTCCAGCCACATGCAAAAAAAAGCAGTCTGTATTGTGTTGCTTAAGTAGGGTACTACATACTTCAGCAAGAATCCTATTTTTCTGCAACGTCCTCCAAGTTTCTTTTACATGACAGTGTGTTTTCAGTATGTTGCATGCATTATAGAAGCAGAAAATATTTTCCTTTATATTTAGAAGATTCCATCGCCTTTTCCAAAACAGCAGTTTCTCCATAGCTCGTGTCTCCACAGCTACACAGCTTAATACTTACTGTAAGCTAACTTGTTTTTACACTGCCATCATGCACTGAGTCCAACTGTTATGACCTGTCATATCACAACTGAATTAAGAGCTATACTGTTATAGCTGTGCTGTTCGGTTGTTTGGGTTTTTCTGAAATTCACTATTCTGAAAACATCACACCTAAGTAGCTTCCAAACTTCCATGTGCTCACGTTTTCTTCAAGCAGAAAAGCACTGTTTTACTGAACAGTTGGTTTCTATCCACACTAGCATTAATATAGCCAAAAACAATACAAAAACTATTTTAGGGGAAAAAAGTTCTAAAAGCTAGATCATGCTTATGATAACACATGCTTACATTTATATTTATTATGTTCACATAGCACACAAAAAAAAACCCCAAAAAACAACTTTAGCCTAGAATTACTCAGAAGACTGGTATTAAATCAAGGATATAATTTTTCAGCATTCAGATCCAAGCTGTCAGAGGAAATGCAGACTGACACAGGGTTTGGCAGAAAAGGAACAGATAGATTTCCAATTACTGTCACAAACATGTCACATTATTAAACAGAAAACAAGAGGCTTTTTTCTTTTTTTAAAAAGTAAGCATAATAAATGCAAGCTTCCTGGTGGTGTCATATGATATTTTTTCCTCTCCTTTCTCCCCTTTTGTATCCCCCCAAGTATGTTTCTTCAGAAGCTTTTCTTGGTTACACTATGAACAACAGTATACAGGGAAAAAACCACTATAAAGTCAAAAGAAAACAAAATAAATGCTGGGTTTGTTTGGTTTTGTGTTTGGGGAGGGGTGGATGGGTTGGGGGTTTTTTCCCCCCTTTTTTTTTTTCCTCTCTGACTACCACAATACATGGAGTTTTGACAGGAAGTCCAAAAAGAGGTATGACATTGCCTAATGTCTCGACAAAACCAAGAGCATTTTGGAAAGTTAAAGTTTCCTGCTAGTTCTACAAACAGAACAGCTGTCTTATACTCAACATGGGCTTTCTAGGGAAGAAAAAAACTGAAATGGAACAGAAACTCTAGCTTTCACGTTACCAATTTTGGTCCGATTAATAGATAACAGTGTATCTGCCAGTTTCCTATTGGAACACACCTCTTCCCTGGGACCAGTTGTCTGCTTTTCTGTGAAAGGGACAGCAGTTATTGAGGCATTCCTTTTGGTCCTCCTGTTTAGTTCAGGCATTTTTAGAAGTTTCTCTAAGTCACTAAAGTAAACACTGTGTTTCGCTTTAGATCACTGAAGACATTCTATCAGAATTGTTATAAAAAAATTTTGAATCCTGTAGAATGTCCTGGAGAGCACAGAAAGTTTGGGGAGTTCTTTCCAGCGTCAGCATAAAAGATCATCAGTTGATACAATTATTGGTAAAACACAGCATTAATAGGAATCAACATAAAACCTGTTAGAGAAGAAGATAGACTCAAGTCTTCATAATCCAGTCACTAACTACAGTGACAGCAAGTACTACAGACCACAAATATGTACTAATTTTTTTTAATGTTTTTCCACATGCATTTGAACTCTTTTTCATTTTACCTAGAAGTCAGTTTCTCTGCATAATTCTTATCCATTCTAGTTTAATTGTTCTGGCAAAAATTTGAGTCTCTATGAAAGGACAGACCTAAACCAACTTACTCCTCCATCACACTTCAGTGTATAGAATGTCTGCAAAATTCAACGGAGAATTACAATTATTCCTGCCACTGGCACACAGCTTAGACACCACCGCCCCTCAGCTGCTGGAAATGAGGTCATTCTATGGTTGCAAGGGCATCAAATATGGCTACACACTTTGAGTTACATTCTGTATCTGAGAACAAAGTTCATAGTACATTCAATATTTTCTGAAATATTATCTGAATTAAACTTTTCAGCTGCTCTTAGATGCAATGCTTCCAGCAGTAGCTGCACCACCCCAGTTGATCGGCTATACTAACAACATTTTTGTATGTTGTACATTTTTATAACTAGAAAACCATTTTGTGAAGTTACATATTTTACCCTACCTAAGCTGTATGAAGTTTTACATGTTGACTGTATTGAGAACTTGCATCAAAAAATAGTTTTGAAAGGAGAACATAATGAACTTTACCTTCTCTGTGTTCAGAAAACACACAGGTATGTCTGGATCAAGTACTTCTTTCAACCATGTTTTTGAAGCATCTGCAAACTCCAGTTTCATTTTTTTTAGGTTGGGCAAGTTAACAGTGGCATTTGACACCTTCTCTGAGCCACATTCCAGTTTGCCTTCATACACTAACATGTTACTCAGTGACATAATTTTACTAAAGATTTAAAAAAAAAAAGGCATTAAATCTTGGCAGTTTCAATCCCACATTAAAAATCTCAATGTAATAAATAAAAGTTTAAAATACCTATTCATTCTGTATTGCACAGTTAATTGGACAACAGCATTTTGGTTTTGTTCCAGCCTTTTAAATAAGCTTTCACTCATGCCAAGATCTCTGTTACAAAACAAACAAACAACAAAAAACCCAAAACGTGTCAGGCAAAATATTGCAAGAGCCTTCCCAGAATTCATGTTACTAATAATTGTCCAGCAGCATTTTATCTTACCTTGCTTCTGCATTCAGTACAAGTGGAGGCAGCTGCTGATGATCCCCTACCAGCACAAACCTTTTGGAGCAGAATAACGGGCCCAGACAGATGAGCTGGCTTATTTGGGAAGCTTCATCAACTATACAGAAATCAAATTGCTTCCGAACAAAGATGGGGTGATTTACTCCCATGCAAGACGTTGCTACCACTGGCTGAAAATTGAGACACACTTTAAGGATAAGATACATCTTACATCCTTTAGCACTACATTTTCCAGGTTAAGAGAAAAAAATCTTTCCCATTAAACTAAAATAAAAGGTAAGATAAAATAAATCAAATTGTTAATCCTTGAAGTCAGAACGGCACAACTTGCATACATATTGACCTCACATATTCTTGCATTGATTGCAAATGACAAAAAAAACAGCTTTAGAACAGACTGTAGTAAATAACTTGCTCCTGCCATTTGTTCAGAGTGATATCAGGTTCTATGCATATACAATTCATGGAGTGTGCTGAAATGACTACCTTAGAAAATGGTGGTTTGTTTTGGTTTTTTTAATTCCAAAAAGATAAAACAACAGCCGCACAGTTCTTCCCACCTCTGTGCTTCCACTGCAATCTGAAATGACTAAAATATGAAATGTTAAGTCATCTCTCTTATGACTTCAATCATTTCCCTGCAATGCCCATCAACAAAGTACATGGTGGCTTTTGCAATGTTGGCATTTACTCCAACTACCATGAAGCTTCGTTCTTTCAACAAATTTAATTTAAAGCTGCCACTGACTCAGTTTACCCAGCTCCCATTATGGTCCTTTGCATTAACATTCACACAGGCAGCACTAATCTTTCAATCAAAAATTAGTGTTTGACCAGATCAGCTCCACAGCACACCACTCTTACTCTTCCTCATCCTCTGATTGTACAAACGGCACAACTAGCACAAGTGGGAGGGGAAAAGGGGACAAACAGGAACAATATGTGAATAAAGACAGAGGAGGTTGCAGCAGTTAATCACCACCCCCTTAACGGATAAATTTGTCAAGGAACCACACTTTAGGAAAGACCACTTTAGGAGAGGATATATATGTAAACAATCCAACACAAGATCTCAGATAAAAGCACTGGAGTCTTTGGGAATTATTACTTATAATGCTGAGTTATTTTATGTAGACATTAAAAAACATAATTTTCAACTTTCAGAGTGTTAATATTGGTCATTATTGGCTATAAAGAAATTGAAGTGATGCAGAAATTGAGTATCTTTTTCAGCTCAGATTTCTCACACCAGTAACACACCCCTGGGATGAGTTCCTTCTCTGCAGCATCTGAACAACCAGAATACTAATTGTAATTATCCTTAATATTTTGCAGCTAGCAAAAGCACTTTTCTCACCTGACTGTTATAGACCTCTTCCAAATCCATTACAGATTTAATTGATTTGGACCTGCAAATTTCTTCTTCTGTAAATTTCCGTATATCTGGATGAACTTTCTGAGCTCGCCCCAAGCGCAAGAAACCAACTTTGAATTTGGCTAGCTTTAGCAGGATATTGTCTACAGCAGTGTGTGTAAAACTAGTCAGAAGAACACTGAAGCCACAAGCAGAAAGAATTCTCACCTAATGGGTGGAAAAGATAAAGAAAAGAAATAAATATTAGTTTTTATACAAGAATCAGCAATCCCATGTTTGACTGGGTAAAAAAACCCAAGAAGTTTCAGAGGAAGCCAATAACAAGTATGATTTCATTTATATCAGTCTTTCTGGCCAGATCTGCCAGTTAGCTATTGTCAAAGCAACATGGGCAACAGACCTGATGGTTCTCATAAACAGCAGGCTTACTATGCATGCTGCAAACAGCGAGAGCTGAGAACATCCATGCACACTCCAAACTGCACTGAAAAGAAGGAACTGCACTCTAGAGATCCCCACTGTAAGAACAAGTCATGCAGTCCATTCCCACAGACACTGTTCTCCATGACAATTTAGCCACAACAGATTCAGTAGAATGAGCTGATCTGATAATAGCAGCAGCTGCTTGCTCTCCAGCCTCCTCTTTCCCCACGAGTTGATGACAACTGGAAGTGAGCTGACACTGCTATTTCAAAAAAAACTCACTCAGCCCACAGCCTGAATCCAGTATGCTCCTACAGCCCATTCCTGGGGAAAGAGAACCACCAACTAGAGGAGATGGCTACCAGGCTGCACATAGCTTCAGCACTGTGGGATTATACAGCTTACAATGGACAAGTTACTGACTTCCCCAAGGAGTCCCCATTTTTGAGCTGTAACTCAGGATTTGAGGACTTGCTGACATTTGGGGCCAAAGAATTTTAACATTAAAGTGTCACAGAAGTGATTAAATATCACACTTCAATCTGCTCCCTCTCACATATATTTCCACACAAGCAAAAGAGAATCCTGCTCCCCAAAATACATTTTTAGTTCTACCAAATATAAGTTCTGAACTAAAATAAATGTTTTCTTCTTTGAAATTACAGAGGTACCAGCAGACTAAGTCATGACAATTAATTTTGGACAGTATGCTTTATATAGTTTGTTTAATGTTCTCCTCCAAATCTCACCAAAAAAATTTAAACATCAAGGTACATGATCTTACTAGAGCGCAGATTGTAGTAGTTTTTCCTGTTCCAGGCATACCGACAATAAGTGTGTAATCTTTTGAAAGTAGTACTTGTTTCATTGCCTGTTTCTGAGGCTTATTCAGACCTTTAAAGAAGAAAAATAAAAACTAAATGTCCATACTTCATAATCATTGTAATAATTACTAAAGTTAATAAAACAAAACTATAGTTTCATCCTCCACTAAAGCCCTTAAAGAAAAGAATTCAGAGTACGTCTGTAGGTTCTAATGAAGTAATGATATTAAACATAGTACACAGACAAGGAATACAGGGTCTGCACTACAGTCCTAGAAATAAATCACTGAAGACATCTTTATTCTTAGACCTTTTGTGACTTTTTTCCTAATATCCTAACTGACCACCTCCATATGATATCTTGTATGGGCATCTCTATTTTATCATACCCACTTTCATGTTCAAATACATGGCTCACAGCAAAGGGAAATGAACTGCACATATAGCATCATCTTGATTAGAAGAAACATTCCATCAGAGCTGCTTTTCCCCAGTCAGGTGCAAATAGGCAGCACGTTCCAGCTATTTGGACTAGGCAAATCTCAAGCAAAAAAATAAGAAAATGTCCAGGTTTATCAGTGCCTTTCTGTAAACAAAATATACAGGAAGACACTGTTCTCCCTATCTTCCAGTACTTCTTAATCAGTCATTCTTGAGTTTCAGAATAACTGCCTTCCTCTCATTTTCTACCCTTTCAGCAGTTTGCCAGGAAGCTGGACAAAATTCTTATTTGAAGTAGTCCTCAAAGCAACAAGGCACATCTTTCAGTCTTCAGACTGAGTTTTTATAAGAAGTTCTATTTGCTCTAAGAGAATACTGTTAAATTTCTGTTTTCAGAGAAGTCTGTCATAGAACAATGGAGTATTTTCACTGAACTAGACACTGCCAAATACCTAAAGAAATTTTGGTTTTTTTTTTAAAAAAAAAAAAAAAAGAGTGCCACAAAGCATAACACACTACAGAGCAGCCAACAGTCAGCAAGAGTGATTATACAAGTGAACGCTTACACAAAAGCTCATCTCCTTCCACTCCCTCAAAGTCTGCTTCCTCTGTCCCAAGAGCCTTCCCTGCTCCCTGTTCCTTCCTTTTGTAAAGGTTGGAGAGGTAGTCATATGGTGCTTTGTTTGAAACTGCAAGCTGCACCAACTAATAAGAGTAAAATAAAGTTCTAATCAAATACCTGGTCATGTCTTCCAACCAGTTTATGACTAATTTAATCACAGGAAGACATGCAAGGTAAGAACTTGTTTTAAATTTTTAAGCTGAAAACTATCACTAGACCCCAAAATAGGAAGATACCCTTATATTTAGAGTGATAAATGCTTTGGCTATAGAGGCATACTACCAAACAGAGGATTTTTGCAAAAACCACATTGTACCCTTTAAAATATTTGCAACAGTTTCCTTTGCTTCTGGAGGAAGGACAGAGCTCAAATGCTGAATAAAACGTGGTTTGTGGAAGTCAATTATCAAGTTGCGGAGCCTTTCACTGTGGATAAAAACACAAGAATCAAGAGTCACCAGTTGAGAAACTTTATCTGAAAGTATTGAAAGTGTGAAATTAATTTGATTTTTCATACCTGACTGGGGAATCTTTCATCAATTTAGAAAGGTTTTCAAAGGGGACTCCCATACCAAAATCTCCTTCTTCATGATCCAACCTAAATATGGTGTTCTTGGGGAGCTTTGACAAATTCCTGAAGGATGACAGTGCCGTGGACAAAATAATTCTGTTTACAAGCAGTATGTTGATGATTAAAGACTTACTACTAAGTGTTAAGTGATACCTCCCAGAGTGAAGCAACAGCTAGAAGAAACACTACTGATTTAAATAAAACATGATTAGAGCCCAATTTAAAGGCAATATAGTCTGAATAATGAAAGTTACTATTAACATAGTAATCACAGTATCCATATAGTCTCATGTTGGAGGCATAAGTGAATGGAGTTTGCAAGCATATTTTTATTCGAACAACCTAGTTAAATAGGCAGGCATATACACTAAGCATTGACATTTTCAATCAAGATAAAAGAATTTCCAAAGGGTACTTCCCCAAGCCCAGCAAGAAAAGTCAGACCATATCAGAGCTTTTTGGACACCTAGAAGTACCCCTCCTGAAGCCAGTACCATAGTGTCTACAAACAGATATTTTCCCTTTTGTTCTATTACCTGCCCAACAAACAGGAGACTTTTGTCACACTGACTTCTCTAACATAACCAGTAGCCAAACCAAGTAAACCATGTTCTTCTCCACTCACAACCACTCTATCACCAACCAATAGGTTTGTTCTAGGTATGGCACCATTTTTACGTTGGAAACAATGTAGAAACTGTCCCTCAGAAATTTCCTGCACTTGATCAATTCTGATCATGTTTCCAACACAATCTCCAGCCTTCTCTCTGTGAAGATATTAGGAAAAAAAAAATATTTTAATATTAAGATCCTCTCAGTAAGAGAAATATTTAAAAAAAAACACACCACCCACAACCAACCACCAAAACCAAAGCATGCTAACAAAACAAAAATCCTCAAAACAACAAAAAAATAACAACCCAAACACACACAATAAGAACCAGAAAGATTAAACAGTCACTTTACAATAGCCACTTTGACCAGAAAAGGATTGTAAAAATATGAAGAACCCTTGTACTTGTTCCAAGAACAGACTCTGATATTTAGGCTAAAATTATCTATAATTTCCTGTTAAAGAACTAATACTGAAATGTATGGATCCACTTCACTAAGATGTTCCATACTTGCTTAAGGAGTTGCTTGTTTCACTTAAAACAACTCAACTACATTTCACTTCTACAGATGCATTGAAATGGGCCTACAAACCGCCAATTATTTTTTTTCCACAGCTGCTGGACTACGTGATATACACACTACTTCAGCCAACAAGAGCCCTTAGTCTGCTTTTATCCACGTTCATAGCCACACCTAGGAGTATGGTCTAAAACTCATCATTGTTTGTCAAGTAAACCCTCGGGAAACCAGGGCAATGAGCTGGGCTCACAGTCAGCACCCAGCCTCAGCCCACAGAGACAGACGAAACAATTACACCACTTTTGCTTCTGAAGACCAAGGCTGCAGCTCGCTGCTTCCTACGTGTGACTTAACAACAAAAATAAATATCATATTGCAAACACAAAACCAACAAATCTAGTAGGCTAATGTCACAAAAAACCTACCTTGCAAGAAGCATATTTGACTATTTCTACAAGCACTAGAAAACATCTGGTTTTCCTTGTATTGAAAACACAAGTTGATAATGCCTCATTTCCAGTTACTGAAGGAAGCATCATTTGTACCAGGTTAGAAATTACATCTTACCTTTCCAAAGAAGGTATCATCCATATATTTTTATATCCCTTTTTACCCTCTCCACTTTGCAGCTCCAAGGTTAACATTAGATACCACAGGCTGAAATACTCTAAATGGGAGGGTTTCAGGTGCTGGGTCTCTCTTTCAATAATGGGTACCAAAGCAGGAGGAAAAGACACGCTGGCCATCTTTTGTTCTACAGCTCTAGGAGTAGAACCAAACACAGGAAAGAGTCAACTTGTATCTTTTTTTCTTGCAAGTCTAAATGTACATAATGCCAATCTAAATATATACTGTAACACAGCAGGTAGATTAATCTGTCATCACTGAAATAAAGTTGAATCTGCGTCCTTTGTTCATATGAACAACCTCATATCAGTAACTTTACATCTCTATGATTTTGAATTATTAAGGACAATAAGTTAGCCAAAGACCAATTAAAGACATTTTGAGGATAGTACTGTATACATTTAGATAGTTGATCTTTTATTCCTTTTTTTGTAACATATGAATACTATATAGAGATTTAGCTAAGCGAAGGGGATTTAATAGTTAATACACAAGCAGGCTTCAAGTCAATTTATCTCAAAACTAAATATCAATAGACATTATACTTAATCACATATACAAAATGCAACCAAAGAGAAAAAAGTTAGCTCAGAAGTGAATAGCTACCCAGTTAGTAATAATCCTGTTGCTGTAACAACTTAATATTAAAGCAATATTTCACAAAAACTAGTTTACAAAAACAAATCATGTATGCCCACAAAGTTAACTCCCTCAACATACACTTTTACCCCTACAATTTCAAAAACAATCAGGCATTATATTTACACAAGATCACCCCAAAAGCTCTCCTGTTCTAACATATCTCATTTGATCTCTTCAGTATACAATTATATTTCTGGGTTTTATGCGACATAAAGACAAGACTAAAATTTATAACAGTTTTTAAAACAATTCAATAACTTTATGTGAAAATTTATCAAATATTTGCTCATGGCTTCTCTTTAACAGGAGATGCCGTAACACTTCAGCAGACTAATATCAATGTATCATTACTTGTGTGATACCCTACAGGGAAACAATCTTCTACAGAGCCAAAGTGAAAGAGTTGTTGTCCAGCCATAATTCAGCCTCAAAAGACTGCCCATTTCAAAGAGTTGCAAGAATATAGGTTTTTAAAATCATAATTATTAACTTAAATATAACAGAAATCTGTTATCGTCATCAAGTATTTTGTTGAGACTTATCTCAGATTTTGTCTTGCAGGAAGTGTACCTGAGCAAACACATCAGGTCTCTGCAAGATCAGGGACTTACAGTATAAAAGTTGCAGTGGGGTCTATGGAACATTCTTTTGGGGTGCAAGAGTCCTCAATGAAGAAATAAGAAACTGTCAACCACAAAGATGAAATCACAATATCAACAGCTACAATTATTCAAGCTTATTTAAAAACACAAGTCAAACTTTTTGTTTTTACCTGCTGTATAGAGAGCAATTGTGTATTTGGGAGCAGTATTTACAGGCTTGACTGTCATCAATTACAGGAGGCAAAGCAGCAAGCTGTGATTGCTGCCTTCCCACGGCAGATTTATATGTACTGTGTGTTAAGTAGAAGGCCAGATGGTTTCTTAACTTCATTAATTCTGTCAAGAAAAGAATAAACTAAGCTGATGTTTTGGGGTTTGTTTGTAATAATTTCTAACTCAAAAGTAGCCATCAACTTTTTAGTCAACTAAGAAGTGAGTATTCATATAGCAAAGTCCTAGTGGAATATTAATAAAACAATTTTTAACATAAGCTTATTGGAATTAGTAACATTATAACAAGTGATACATCTCTAAGTACAAATATGTTCATGAGAGTAAACCTTACAACTATTACTAAAACTATTATTTTAATTAAGATAATTATGGTTTCTGGGGAAAGGGAACAACTTTACCTCTTCGGTCCATGCGAGCTCCAGAAACAGGGTACATAGTACCAGTTTTAAGATAAATAAGAAATCCAGCTTCAGGATCTACTCTCCGTTCTAAATTCAACAATGTATACAGAATAACCTGCAAACATGATATATATATACTTTGTTTTTAATACATTGTAATAAGTTTATTATAAGCTGTATTTAGTTTTTTTCTGTAATTTATATGGTTAAGCAGCCATTACTATCACAAGTAATCTAGAAGCCATAAGTAGTAAGCACCTAACCATGGATTTCAATTAAAAAGCATCTTCCTTAACAAAAGCTTATACAAGGCTACTACCTCTGGATCAGACCAGTTATCTGGACAGATGTACGACACCAATTCCGGAAGCAGTTTGCCTCAGCCTAATACTTGAATGTAGTAAGAAGAGACTAAGAACAGATATTTCAGGATAGAAACTATAAATATGTTTGCAGGAAGTAAATGTATACACTTCCCACTCCTCAGTTCACTTTCATTTCGTATCAGCAACTTTGGGCATGCTAGGATCAGCCATCCATAAATCTAGATTATATCACATACAAACAAAGCGTTTCACATTCATAAGACAAAATAGGTCATCTAATAAAATAAAAAAGTATACATAGCCACAAATAGTGAAATTAGACATTTGGGTTTTGTACCTGACTTCTGTGCTCTATGGAGTTAGATTCCTTGCCAGACTTGAGCTCTAACGGCATTATCCTAGACTGTACTCCAGACTGGCGATGGATTTTCACCCTGGCTGTAACATCAATCTTTCCCTTCAACCCAAACCTGGGAGACCAGATATTCTCTTCAATGTCTACGATATCTACAATCTCTATCTTAGAAGATAAATCTGTTTTTTCACCACTTGACCTAGGAAGAAAATTAAGTTGGAAGTTACAATTTCCCTTAATTCTTAATATTAAAATATTAAAATGTGTTGTAATTAAATATTTAATATTTTTGCATTATAGGCACTCTTTAGGCACTAACTTTATCGAGTCTCACTCAAATGATCTGCCCATTAACAGAGGAAGCATATCAGAAAGTTACTTTAAATTGCACATTGGCGTGTAGTTTTGCTATTCACCTAAATATCAAAGTTAAAAAAGAATCTTAAACAGTTTTTAATAGTTTTTGGTCTTTTCTGAATAACCACACTCTAAAACATTTTGTTTCTTCAAAAAGTTTAATGATATACACTGGAAAGTAGCATACAGATTTTACTCAGACCTGCCATTTCACTGAAACTTTAACACCCTATGGCTATTACCATTAACAGCAAGAAGCCATAGACAAGAAGAGCTCAGCAGCAGTTGAGTAAAATCACCATTTCACTGATAAACTGTTATCTGGGGTTAAACCACGACATTAGTGAAGAATTACATTTGATTAATAAATAGTTTCACATTCTGCTTTGCAGTCTTGCACATATTTACAGTAACTTCTAGCTTAGTCAGTAGATCAAACATGCTTGCTTTTCTAATTACTAAAAATTCTACTTTGTACCACACTGTTTACAAGGATTTTAAGATCAATAAGATTTTTATGTCAGTTCTCCCTCAGTCTTAATGTCTTCCCCAGTACTCAAAGTGGCAGCTAAACATGCAGCTCTCAAGATCAGCTATTTTGGCAGTGAGGCCATGAATTAGCTCCATATCACTGAACAGATTTGCATAAAAAGCGCTATTCTAAAAATTAAAAAGTGAACCAAAGAAGATATACAGCTTAGAATGGTTTTAACTTTTAATTCTGGCTTCTTACAGTTTTAGTTGAATTTTATTTTGGTTAGCTGGATTGTGCATGAAGTCTTCCGCCCATTTAAAAAATGATGGCAAATATTCTTCCACTGCCTGCATGATTTCTGTTTGTTTCAGATTTAAGTGATACCTAAAAAATAAAGTCATGCACATTAAGGAGACAGTACCAGCAGCAAATCTAATTTCTAACAAGATTGTGCCTCAAGAAATAACAAGATTAATGGAAATAACAAGATTAATGGAAATAACTGTCAAGTTTGAATAAACATCTATAAATTGTAGATAGTGAGAGATTCATTAAGGTTCAACTCCATTACTTCCAAAACTATAACTGAACATCCATTACAAGAGATAGAATACACTATGTTCGTTTCTGATGTAAATTTTGAAATGACAGGTATAGCACAAGGAAGGCAGCAGCACGATAGATGTGACGAAACAGAACTAATAGACTGCAAGAAAGGAGTACCAGACTCATGCATTTAAAAATGGCTATTCCTATGGTTTATGCAAAATTGAAAACACTAAAAAAAAAATTTAAGAAAGATCATTTGCTTTTTGTCTGAATACACTGATCTGCTACTTGTTCTTCATATACATTTTGACAGGCTTCAGACCATTTTAATTGGAAAGGAATCATGATCCTCTTCAGTTGCTACAGTTACAAATACACAAGAAAGCAGAAGTCTCATTAGACAGAACCAAATTATGTGGCATTAGATAATTCAGTGCTGGCATTCACTGGAAATAATGTCATTATTCTACAGCAACAGCGAAACACAAGTGGGTTTTACACAAAAATGTTCATACAAGTGCAAATGACCACAGCCAGCAGACTTTTATGTAACTTACTTTTCAATCCCAATAAACAGTAGCCTACACATGCAAAGAAGAATCACAAATCAACGGTTTCAAACAGAGGCCCAGCGTGACTCAAAAGCCTTTAAGTAATCTTAGCAGTCACAATTTAAAATATCCACCTTCATAACAGAACTAGAGTAATAACTCTTGTAACAATTTTAACTTTCAACTCGTGGAGCTAACAGATACTGACATTGACCAACATCCTACTTATAATATTCTAGATATAATAGTTTTTTTACGTGACTTGAATTTTATTTTAATCAAGTCTGCATTAAAATCTTAAAACTGACTGCCATTCACCTCATAATTTTATTATGGAAATATGAAGACTATTATGCTAGTATTTCTGTCAGCTTTGCAGAGAAAATAAGTTAAAAGGTCCTCTAACAACTGAGCCATTAACTAACTTGATAAAGAATATGAAAATATCAGGCATCTCAATGCTTGGTCAGTCACAAGTTTCTAGTTCATCTTCCAAGGACCAAAATGAATTATGTTTGTCACATTTAACCCAGCTTTGGGAGATGCCTGGAAATCTAACGTTACAGGCACAAACACTCCAACCTGCTTGGCCTGAAAGAAAAAAACCCACAGCTACAGTTACTCCAGAAGCATAATTCAGACCTATAGAAGTAGCTCAGCAGGGCAGGCAAATTAAATTACATTATGAAACAGGGAATTATTTTACTAAATGATACCAAAGTTTCATTAAGCGAAGTCATTTGGCAGAATGTTCTTCCGATACTAGTGCTACATTTTTTAAAAGTAGAAATTTATCTGCTAGTTCAAATGTTCCTACCCTGTCTTCCAAACATAAAAAGATTACTTACATTTCTTTGAGATAATTTTGTCCATATACAATTTTATTCGCTAGTTCTTCAACTTTTTCTTGTGCCAAGTTATTTGTTACCGATTGTTGAAAAATATCATGAAGAATTGTACCAATGAGTGTTTGGCGTGAACCAGACTCGAAGCCCTGCAACAGATGTTATAGAATATATATATATATGAAGATTCATGCCCACTTCATGCAAACTTTTCTATAAAATTTTTTATTTGCTGCACGATGAACTGCACTTATTTCATTGCAAGATCATTAGAGTTTTCACCTCACTAATTAATACCTATTCAAACCTGACTGTGAAAACAGCCAAATTGAAATGTGTCTCTCCTATTGCTTTATCTCTCATTTTTAACCCAACCCTGATAATGTTAGGATACAATCCCTATGTGATTGACAGGTGAGAAACAAAGGCACAGATTAAAATTAATTTTGAGCAAGCTTTGCCTGTGGGCAGTATTAATAGCAGTATTTCCTAATGCAAATACTTACCTTTACAATCTTACAGATATTATTTTTTGCATGAAGCAGTTTCCTGTGCTTTACCAACTCACACAAAATTATTCAAAGTATCACCAGAATGGCTCAGAAACCCATCTAACCATCATCAAGACTGGGCTCTGTTGACTCATAAGAATTGAAAGTGGTAGAAAGTTGTGACCTCTGCATGAGCCACCAGCAAACAACTGGAAATCTAATCAGTATGGTTTTTAAGTACTTGCTGATACCTTTTACAGACCTGGCATGTGTGGGTTCCACTCACAACTGGAGGGCAGTGTTATCCTGGACTCAGGACTCCCAAATGATTAGTTTATTCCTATTACTCCTTTTATGAAGGCCTGACACCATCTCACCCTGTACTGAAATTTCTTGTTTCAGTCACCGGCTCCCGGTGGCTGTTTACCACTCCATTCCAGTTCCCTTGCCCATTTGGAGTTATGCTCCCACCATGTCTGTAAGTTTTCCTCAGCTGAATCCACATATCAGCAAGGACACCACAAGAAACCTTTCTTCTTTCCAAATTCCAACAGCTACATTCAGATTCCAGAGTTAGCACACACAAACCCCAATTACAGTACACATATATTCCAGCTTGATCTTGAGTTAAAGCCTGCTTCTCGTAGGGTATTAAGAAAGTCTTAACTGAATGGGCTGCTTTTGCAGAGGCTTTTAACTTGGCCAAGTGTGGTTATGTTTTCATATGGCTGCAAGAGGCACATTCCTCACAAAGGATTCATATCCACACAAAATGTGGCAACAGATTATCAAAGAAGTTGCCAGAATTTTAAGCGGGAAGGCCATTTCTTTGTCCCATTAATTATATTAAGAATATAGGATTATTTTAGCCAGAATTCTCAAAAAAAACACAAGAAGCTCAGCCAGAGACAGGCAGTTTCCATTCTAAATTATTCTGTGTTGTGAACATTATGAATAGCTAATAGCAACATTTTGCAATACAGCATCTCAACCAGTTTTAAGAGCTAAACCACTAGTCTCAGTGAAACAGTAACCCATTGATAGGCTTGATGCTGTAGAATTAACACTTACCCTAAACCTTTCACTCAGCACTGCTTGTCTCATGCATCGAATACTATTTGACACCGTAGTGCCAGAAAGCAGCAGATCTGGGTAAAGAACCAGGTATCCAGACTGTTCATTTATTATCCAGGTACCGGAGCTACACTCCCCTTCCAAATGAATGATGTCTCCTGGAACAACCGGAACAGACTCCCTATAACGTAATACATTTGAACAACAATTTGCAAGCTAAGGACACCACGTATTAGAAATTATACATTAATATATCAGATTCAATATACTTCGAAACAGGAGGTTATTGTGATTCTTTTTTAAGTTAATCGAAAATTTTGAAAATTAATAAAGGAATTTTTACTGACAAAACTTCAATAACTTTGAGATTTGGATCATGCGTCAGGACAGTCTGCATGTAGAGAAATCCTGTTGACTTCAAGTCATTCCAGATCCATGTATTAAGCCATTTCAGTATCGTTATGTTTTATACTGGCATACTACACTTTTTCATTACAAGATCTACCTTTTTACTTAGCAATTCAACTTGTTTCAGAAACTCAGAAAAACCTAAAACTATTTTTAGAAGTTTCAGGGTTCAAGATCTTTTATACTTGCTCCTGCAAGAAGTGGAGTCTTAGACTTCTTTTCTCCCATCTTTCAGGCTTGCACGGAAAATGAAAAGCAGTGCCAAATAGCATGCGCATGCCTGTATGTTTCAAAAGACTAAGCTAGTCTTCCGTAACATACCATACAATGCACAAACACCTAAATTAGAATCCTCACTGATACACACTTGAAAAAAACTTTTGCAGCAGAGCTCAAGCTAAGGTGATTTTAACAGACTGTGTAAAACCTCATGTTTTACAGACATAGCTTTGTACATTTATATGGACAATGAGGGTACATCATTTAGAAGAACACTTCTAATTGTTGCGAGACAACACTTAGACAAAATACCCTGCTTAGAGCTTATTGTCTTGCTGTTTGTTAGTACAGAGACAAATTAAAACTTTAAGGTAGCAATATCCACTCAACACAAGTTACACGACACGAGCTCTCTCAAGGTGAAAATCCATTATGCTAATATACTGACAATATTACATTAGATAAAGGTCGTTTCAGGATTTCTTATCACTTTTAAGAGAGTAAAACTCATCTCAAAGGAAACACAAAGAAAAGTGACTTAGTCCAATATTTCATCCTCTTTCCAAATATCTACATTTCTGTATGGATTACCAGCCATTCCTAAGAATGCACAGTTCTGTATCTTCCAGTGACTGAGACGCTGTAATTGTCAAGTGTTTCTCAGGGTCACTTCCATTTCTCTGTATTACGCTGACTTCCAACACACAGTATCTGTTGTTCAACCCATTCTTAAGTATTGTGTCAGGGGAGCCAGTCACTTTCTTCTGAAATCTGAAGTAACAATTCATTACAAAGACATAACGCTATTTGAAAACAGCCAACCCATACACAAGACGAGGGAAAGCTTGAAGTATAAACCTAACTTTAACCCTCTCCAGTTTTTATATACATTTAGTGTGGTTTTAGTTCTATACAGGTAGAGTGTAGGAAATCTTCCCTCTGGTAATGCTTCCACATTGTCTCTTTGGATGACAGGGATGAAAAACAAGCATTTGGACATATGAGACATAAGGAAGGAGACATAAATATTAAGTTACTATTTATTGCAGCTAGTGCTTCCTTTTAGTATCCATATATTCATATTCATTCATAAGTTAATTATAACTGTACTGCAACCCTGTGCCTGTGAGAAAGCTCGTATCTCTTTGAACACTGTAAAGCACATAAGAATTCCCACAATCACCCAAGAACATCAAACACAGAGAACTAACTTTTTCCCCCCCTTAACCTCAACATAATTAGAAAACTGATATTCAAGGTTCAGTTTTCATCCGACCAACGGCCAAAATTTCAGATAGAACGGTCAGGCCGGCCACTCTCCTGACACAGAACGATGCCTGCTAGAGCTCCAGGGCGCAGGCAAGGACAGAGCTCACACCAGGCGCCTGCACTCCGCCCCGTAGGCTACCCTGCCCAGCGCAAACACCCGTTAATCGCTAAGCAGCGGCGGATTCCTCTCACCGATTATTGCAGGCAGCCCGCGCGCCCCGCTTTAAATTTCAAACCCCCCGCGCTGGCGGCCGTCTCCGCCCGCTCGTTCTTCCCCCCCACTCGGCCGCTACCTCTCTGCCATGAGCAGGTCCTCTGCCGCGCACGGCTCATCCCGCCTCAGCTCCATGGGCCAGCCCGCAACCCGGCCTCGAGGCGAACAGACGGATAAACGCGGACCCCCTCAGACCCGCGCCTCACAACACGCTTCCACCCCGCCCGGGCGCGGGCGCAATACAGCCGCACTTCCCGCCCGCCTCCGGAGAAGCCCCGCCCCTCGTCCCTCCCAGCTCGGCCACTGCCGGGGCGAGCGCTAGCGCG